CTGCCTCCTAAGTGGCTGAAATAACAGGTGTGCATCACCATCCTTGACTCCTTCCTCTCCATTTTGCTATGACTCTGAGACTTCCCTAAATACTAAGGTCAGGGAGGGGATGAATCTGAATATCAAACAAATTTGCTATGAGAATAATCTGAAATAAATAATATTTCTACACACCACTAATAATTGACTAGAAAAATAACAGCATAAGCTACAGACAAAACAAAGTGGTGTACTGATTCCTTATGTGAACATCTCATAAAAATCTCTAAATCCACATGTTCAAAACGGTACACTTGATTTGTTTTCAAATCCAGTCTTTCTGCCCTCTTCCTTATTTCAGTAGATAGAAACACTGTCTTTCTAGCTTAGAACAAAAAGGTCGCATTTATTCTTGATTTTGTTCTCTTTTATACCTCATATTCAGTCAGCAAAATCTACTGGTTAGAGTGTTTCTGAAATATGACTACTTCTCATCACGTTCACTCCTACCATTGGGTCTAAGCTGCCACTGCTTTCTTCCTGGTCTTTATTTTTGTCATTCTGTCTATTTTCCATATAGCAGCAGTATGAGAAGCAGCACTTCTATATGTAAGTCAGATCACAGTACCGCTCTACTCAAAATCATCTAACAGCTTCTCATCATATTTGTGTAAAACTCAAGTCCTTGTGGACTTGATGGCTTTAAGGACCTACAGGCTCTGGCTCACTGGTACCTGTCTAACTCTGTCTCCTACTCTTCTTCACTCATTTTGTTCTGCCCAGAGTCCCCTTACTTCTTACCTGATATACCAAGCTTGCAATCATCTTTGCACTTGCTATTCCTTTGCTTGGAAAATTTATATATATATATATTTTTTTTTTCTCACTTTCTGTAGGTTCTTTTCTCAAATGTAACCTTGTGGCTAGATCTTTGAGCTCCTCATATAAAATAGCAACTCTTTTCTACTCTTTGATTACCACCATTCTTCAGCATTCTCTATCTCCCTGATTCTTCATAATTTTCTTTATTGATACCTATCTTCAATAGCACATTAAATGTTTTCTTTTTCTTTTGCAAATACATCCTCCACTAAATGTACATGCTATGCTGGGAGGTATTCTTTCTTTCATGGCTACCTCCTGAGCACTCTGAACAGTATCTGTTTTCTATATGTGTTTAAATATGTGAAAAAATTAGATATTGGCTTTTATGTTATTCATTATATTTTCCTTTATGGCTGGAGTATTTCACAAAAAGGTATAAACTAAATTCTAAAGTAAACCAAGACTTCAGATAGCAACATTTCATGCAACCAAGTCTCAGTAGTATTTTTTCTCCATGCAATACTGTTAAGTTGATAGAGATAAGTGATTTAAAACTACACAAAATAGGGCTGGGGATTTAGCTCAGTGGTTCCACCGCCTGCCTCACAAGCGCAAGGTCCCAAGTTCAATCTCCGGTATAAAAAAAAAGTACACAAAATAATTTGTTTCATATCACAAAGCCTTACCAAAATAATCTAGAACTCAGAGAATTACTATACACTGGACCCTTGAGTTATGACCAGCCACACATATGAACAACTTGGGTTACAACAGGAATTTCAGTTTTAACTTGCAACCAAAGTCTTGAGCTACAACCTGAATGCCAGTGTTTCCTGTGTGGGATTAACTGAGAAATCCTGGGCCCATGTCTCTCTAAGGACACTGAGATTTGCCTTAAAGAAAGTGTGGCCTAAAATTACATAGGAGAGAGACTGTGAAGGCAATGTAGAGGAGCCTGAGTCTTTCTTTAATTGACCCTGTGGTTGATGTCACTGTCACGACAGCAGGGTCCATTTGTTTGCAGGTAGACAGAGGTAATGTTGAGGAACTGGCAGAGAAACACTCAGAGGAACTGTCCACAGAGGAACTTTAGTAACTTGTGGCTAAGCAGCAGAGAATGGCAGCTGAGGAGCTTTCTGAAGAGGAGGGGAGTATCATAAATCAGTGCAACAAAGTTCTTCTTCTGCAATAAAGGAAATCCTGGAAAAATGGACAGAGCCACAAACATTTGTAGAGAAGACTCACACAGACAGAGAAAAAGCCAGTTGTTGTATTCACTCGCTTAATGACAATGTCATGTCACACTACAGAACAGTCTTAAAGAACAGACAGAAACAGACAGCCTTAGACCAGTTTTTAGTTCTGAAAAGGTCAAGATTTAGTGAGTCAGAAGCAGGTCCAAGTGGGCTGCAGACTCTCCCAAGGACAGAAAGGACACAAGAGAGCCAGATTCCTGATGTTCTGATGGAAGGGGACTGTCCTTCCAAACAATAACCACCTTCCATTTCATCTCCCTTCCTGTGAGCCAAAGATGTCAACTTGGATGGTGAGTACAGTATGAAATTGTCGTTTCTGGTAAATTAGGTACATTTTATAACTTTTTGGTGAATAGACGAGGACAATTATTGGTGTTTCTGGAAAATTACACATATTACACCACCTTTATTATGAAAAGGTTAGTTAAGGGGTGCTTTGGGAGGTTCAGAAAGCATTATGGGTATTTCCATTATTTCTTATGGGAAAAATAGTCTTGACTTACAACCAACTTGAGTTACAACCTGCCCTCGTGTACAATTGAGTTCGTAAGTTAAGGGTCAACTATAATAGGAGTATGATGGGATTATGGGTCTAGTGACACTGAAACTATTAAGCATTTCAAACAAAAATCTTATTTCAGACTACAGTATAAGAGAAAGGATTTAAAGCCACTTATTCAAACTTAGAACAGCAATTTTTTAAAATAAAATTTTACTGTACAGTAAAATAAAAGTCTGACATTACCTGGACAGTTATTATTCCTTTCTGACCTTTTAAAATCTACCATCTCTCAACTTTTTTTGATTCATGTAAATGTCAAGATCAGTGGACAAAGCAAAGACAGCGAGTGACAGGAGTGAGACTGGCAGAGGAAGCACTTCTCAAAAGCTGCTGCTCCAAAAAGCCAATGTGAATACTGCCAAGTGCATGATTTATATCTGGATGTCCCCCAAAGCTCATGAGCTCATAAGCCGGGCTTTGGCAGGTGAGCGGGCCCTGGGAATGTGATACTCACACTGGATTGGTCCACTGATGAGTTTATAGCTAAATGTGATGTTGGGAGGTGGAGCATGGTTGGAGGAGGTGGTCACTGGGGGTGTGGCCTGGAAGGGTCTGTCTCCCTCCTCCTGCCTTGATCTCTCTCTGCTTCCTACCTGCCATGAGTACCTCTCCTCTGCTAAGCCCCTCTGCAGTAGCACTCTGGCTTGGAGCCAGCTGACTGTGGACTGAAACCTCTACAAACTATGCCAAAGTAAACCTTTCTTTATTTAAGTTGTGAGTGCCAGGTATTGTGTCTCAGCGACCAGAAAGTAAGACAACAAGGATTTTCTTTTTTGGTACTGGGGATCGAACTCAGGACCTTGCACTTGCGAGGCAGGCGGTGGCACCACTGAGCTAAATCCCCGGCCCAACAAGGATTATTAAAATAAAATGTTTTCAAAACTTTGTAAATTTAACACAAGCCTGACACAATCTGAAGAGTGCAAATTCAAGAAATAGAATATTGAGTCTCAATAAAAATGTGAATTTGTCCTCTTCTCATTTCTCTCAGCTGCATAGCTACCTTGAAAACTGGCAGTTTAGCAATCACTACAAAAACCAGTCACACAACACTCACTGCAAGGGGCAGAACTGTTTGGGAATGCCTGAAAAGCACCATTTCAAGGAAACTGTAATTATTTGTCCTGTTTGCCAGTTCCCTGGAAGCCTACTCTGACAGTACTTGTCTTTATTTGGCCTATCTCAGAGTTTTCTCAGTGCAAACAGCTTTTTTCTTGGAGATATCTGCCAAATACAATACGCAGTAATTGTTTAACACTACAGGTTCCTGAAGCAGACACAACTGGGGAGAGAAGAAACTGTTCATAAAATTAACAGGCAAAGCTGGGGAACGCAATGTCCATGGGAGCTCTGAAAGCTTTGACATGTCCTTGGAGTCCAGCACCACACTTCAGGGCTATACGCATGCCCAAGGCAGACCTGAAGAGGCTTCAAGCCCTCTTCTTTGCTTGATCAGAGGCTTCAAACAGGCAGAAAATAAAGCTCGAGGGAAGGTTGCTGACTGAGTGTGGATGTGCCCCAACATGTGCTTAGAGCCTCTCAGCAAAATCTAGGTCCCCATACAGATACGTTAGGGAGATCTACTCACTGAAGGCAGCGAAGCAGTGGTGACACCTGACAAAGAATACAGACTACACAGAATTTAGAAAACCCACTAAACAAATACTATTATCAACAACAAAACCACTAACCTAACAAACTACAATAAAAAACCCTGGGCAGGAGAGCAGGATCTCATTTCTAAAATTGCAATGTTATTTAAAAAGTTCAATTTTCAACAAAAAATTGAATGTTAGGGTTAGTAGGCAAAATTAAGTCAGCTATTTTAAAGAACTAAAGGAAACCATCTTTAAAGAACTAAAAAAAAACAAAACTACTGTATGTTGAAAGAAGAAAGATGTCTCACTAAATATGGAATATTTTTCAAGAGATATAAATTATTTTAAAAAGAACTAATTATAAGTGGTAGTATTGAAAAGTTCAGTAACTGAAGTGAAGAATCTACTCCACAGGCTTGTCAATCAAGAAATCAGCTGCAATTCTACCAATAACTCAACATTTCTTTATTTTAAAAAATTCTTCCTTTACTTCTTGTAATCTCTTACACAACAAGATGATGTACAAACAGAAACCATGACTGTACAGAAAACAAAACTTGTTACATGAAGAAATATGTCAAAACAATGTCCTTAACTGTAATGTTCAAATAGGTGTAGAGGTTTTCTGAAATGTCTGTATGAATAAAGTCTGTTAGAAAACAGCGACGTTAAAAGGACACAAATGACAGTACGTGAAGGCACTGAAGATCCTAGGCTGTGTGCATTTGACACCAGCCCTTCCTAGAGTCTGTGAGCTACACCTACACTTGCTGCACTTACCAGATCGGTCTTTGGCGGCTCTGTGCACTCCACAGAGAAGTAGGGTGCTGAGCTTCTCAGGCCGCCGCTGTCGGAAGGTGGCTTTGGAGGCTGGGCGTGCTGTCTGTATGTGGCACTCTTGGGAGTCCAACAAAAGAGGTTGATCGATTCTCGTACACAGCGTTCAATGTCGATTTCTAGGTAGAAATTTAAAAACAAATATAGAACTTAGATTGCTTTATTAAATAAAAGAATAATCTTTTCTAAATATATATAGGCAAATATGGCTAAGATGCTAACTAGAAAAGAAGCCAGTTGAAAGATGTAGATTTTCATCATATATTAACAAATGGAATGGTAGGGGACACTTGCTATTATTACACGCACACATATATGTAAGCATATAGACTTATATTTTATGTATTTTATTTGATACCATCCACATATATAGACATTTGTATATTGTAGTCTATCAACGAAACAATAGGAAATATAACACATCTCCTTATTAAAAATCTGACCCATTTACTTTGATAATGTTTTTGAGAATAGGTAGACAAAAGATTCAGACACTGATTCACCACAACTTCTAGGAACATGTACTCAAAGTTTCAGTGCTACTTATTAAATGATACATAAAATAATCAGGGCAAAAGTTGTCAAAATCTTTCGCCGCCTGCTGCGCAAGCGCAAGGACCTGAGTTCGATCCCCGGCACCAAAAAATCCGATCTCCCCCCCCCCCAAAAATTTGTCAAAATCTTTTATAATTAAAAAATGTTATTAGTACATAATGCTTATGTGCATTGCGAGTTGGTACATGTACATATTTTAATTCTTTTTACTTCCCCTTTCCCTCCTCTCTCTCCTCACTCCCCTCATCTCTTGGTCTCCGTCCCATTTGAAAAAGATCTATCTCCCCGGTTTCCTCCCCATATCTTTTATTTTTCTCTTTTTTATACTTTGTGTTTCTCATATAAGAGAAACCATGTGATATTTAAACTTGTGTGTCTGATTTATTTCACTTAACAGTATGATCTCAAGGTGCCTCCATTTTCCTACAAATGATTTAAGCTAATTCTTCTTCATAGCTAAGAAGTACTCCACTGTGTATAAATGCCCACTTTCTTTATCCATTCATCAAGATTTATCTATTGTGAGTTGTGCTGCTACAACACGAGAGTATACATGTATCTCTGTAACATGTCATGATGTCTTTAATGGTTTAAGTGAGATCTAACGTGGACAGAAATAAATGCACCTGATGAAAATGACTTCACAAAATGAACATTTTCATAGAAAATTTTTCTTTTCCAGATTTGAAATCTAAACATCTTTGATGCAGGGGTAATATGCAAATAGGAAGGTGATTACAACTCTAAATGATTGTTTATTTTTGATGGGATTGCAGCTCTTTAGGGGCCAACATTCCTGAGGAGGAGCAAGCTATTCCTCTGTGGGGAAAGAGGAGACCGCAGAGCAGCAGAAGTTAGCTAAGCTGCTGAGATGAATCAGCACTGATTAGCTTTTTCTCTTTCTGTGCTTCTAAAGCCAGCAAATGGCAAATAGTATTTTCACTTTCTCTGCAAAAGTCCAACTATGTCAGCTCATATAAGCAATGGAGAAAAATATATGTTGAAGATTACAAAGGAAAGGTTATACATATCTCTTTTTGAGATGACAAGTTTATAAAAAAGGGGAAAGGAAATAAGCACTAAGCAGGCAGTGCATGTGATGGCTAATCTAGGTTGTTGAGTTGTCCGGATTGAGAGATATTTAGAGAATTGGTAAAGCACACTTCAGTGACCATGAACTGAATTTCCTAAAATTGTGAGCCAGAATAAATCTTTCGTTCTATTGATTATCCTATGATTATCTATGATTGTCATAGTGAAGGAAAGCTGACTAACAGTCAAGAGTTAGCATTTAGGGAAAGGAAAAATGACACTTGCGCATCCACTATGCAATAGGTATTGTACACTATTAATTTAGTCCAATTTATCCTTACAATGATTCTCAAAAGTCATGTATTGTAATTCCCCCTCCCTTGCCACTTCTGTTGAAGATGAAGAAACTAAGACATAAGAAAAGCTAAGTCACTTATGTACTTGTGTAAAATGTCTGAAGTTACTAAGAGGTCATATCTTTTTACATTTCCCAATCCATTAATGTTTGGAATATAACAAGCAAGTCTGAAAAGGTCAATTACTCAATTAAGCATTCCTTTATCTGCTGTTAGTGATTGTTCTGCCAACTTCACAGCTGGTTCCTTCCACGGCTACACAAAGAGGTCAGATTTCATCAGTCCACATACTATTCCTATCATAAAATTCTATGAAACTTAATCAAACACACTTTGAAACATAAGCAAATTTAGTTGAGCAATGGCAATATAGTGAAAAGCTTTTTTAAAAAGCTCTAAAATTAACCTGAGATTCCTTAAGGAAAAGAAGACAAATAGCAACTAGAAGAGAAATAAAGTTTAAAATAGTCTCTTCTACTCTTCTGCTTAAGAAGAGAGGGTCAATTTACTTAGAAAAGTTTCAACTTAAATACTTAAGATAACAATTTGTTAGCTAAATAGCAAAAACTCTCAGCTGTCCAAATTTTGTCTATTTAACACTGGTTGACCCCCAAGGGTAAAGAATTTTGGTTCAGATTCCACCTCTCCAGTGTTCCCATCAGTTTTCTGTCACATGGTAAAAGCTGAAATCAGGCCAGTGATCTACATCAGAGCCTGTAGTTCAGTCCTGAAGTCAGTGACAATGGAAAATAACAATTTGTATCTGATTTCAAAGCACCCTACTAACCCCATAAAAGCTTTAGGGCCACTTGACTATTTACTGAGGCCCAACCCGATTCTACCCTGTTAGCGCAGCCAGGTCCCCTGCTTCCCAATCACCTGACCCAGGCCACCCTCCACCTCAAAGTCCTTCCAAAGCACTATATCTAACCACAACAGAATGCAAACGTATTGAGTAAGCTGTCTACACAAGTGTGCAATTATTCTCACAACATAATCTCCCATCCTATGACACTGTTTTCTGACATAATTCTTTGTATATTGTACTGTAAATAAAGATATTACACTGTCTCAAGTTGGAATCAAAGCTCCATAATGTACTTGGTGACTAAGTGAAATTATTTTTCCAGATTTTGGTTTCTTCATTCTATAACCCTCAGTATTGTACCTCAGAACTACTGAACTACTTTCAATATAATAACCTGTATCTCACGTTTACATTTGGGCAAGGATAAGCATCGTGGTCAGGGTTTGCAAGGGAATAGATTTAATACAGGACACAATTTACAGGGTTGTTTTATAATATTCACCCAAAAAGTCAAATGCAGAGGAGTGCAAGAGATCTGTCCACACACCAGAGACTCAAAGGATCCAGCCGAGGGCCTGGACCCCACAGCAGTGTCCCGCACAAGCCCAGCTAAAAGCCTAGAGCCCAAGGCAATGCCCACCACGAGTCCAGCCAGAGGCCTGGAGCCCAGGGCAATGTCTCCTGCAAGTCCGTATGGAGGATCTGCACCGGGAAGGCCCAAGGCCAGTGGTGGAAGCAGAAAGCCTGAGCCGGTGGGGTGGAGGCTCTGTGCCACCGGGTCAGGGATCTGCACTGGGGCCAGGAAGTGACGCTCACGGTGAAGACCAGAGCTCCCCTGATGAGAACAGCAGCTGTCCCCAGCCACAGTGAGGACCTGAGCTCTTCCTCCTATGAAAACAGCTGAGTTCATATCAGGAAAACCAATGGCAACAACTTCTCCAGGAAATCAGCAGCATACAATCTTCCCTTCCAGTTCTCCGTTTATGTGGATGGCAACAATCCTGGGGGGGGGGGCCTTCTACACCCAGAACCACGCTCAGTTTAGCTGGGTGTTCCAAGTTTACCATTAGTCCACCACAATGGGTAGAAAGACATGTCTCCTGAAGCCCTCTCTTCTTTTCCTTGATAGCCATGAATTACTTCCTACATCTACTGAATAGGTGTCATCCTAGTACTTTTCTTTACCAGTATCCAATTCTCTTTTGCTGTCCTCTATATTTGATTCCTATGGGGGGGGGTATTCATTCATTCTTGATGCATTTCACTTTGATGGAACATATTTTTCAATAGCTTCTAAGACATGTATAGGAAACAAATTATTTTGAAACCTTACATGACTTATTCTGTTTTTATTTTGCCTTTGACGGATGCTTTGAGTAAGCACAGCATTCTAGATTTATTTTTCACCAGAGTTATGAAAGGCTATATTGTCTTCCACTGAGAAGTCTGATGAGATTTGGATTTGAGAAAATTTCCATGTGGTTGTCCTCTTCTCTGTAAACTTTTAGGATCTCTGAATTCTGAAACTTCCTGTCATACTTTATTTTATTTTATTTTTTATTAAATTCTTTTATTGGTACATTGTAGGTATACAACACAATTACATTTCTCACTGGGAATTTTACCTTTACATAATGCATCTTGGTTCTTATTTTTTCCCCATTCCTAGCCCTCCCTTCACGCCCTCTACCCTTCCCTATTTACAATGTCATACTTCAATGTACATCACTTCATTGGGCAGGGCATTTGAAGGTTCCCTAGTATGACAACAGGTCTTACTTAATGTCTATGACAACTGCTTTTGGTTTTACCTTCCTTTTCATTAGGAAAAATCTTAAACTTCATGAATTCTCTAATAACTTTGTCATTTACCTCTTAACCTGTATGTTTGTTTCACTCTCTGGAAGAATTCCTAAATTTTATCTTCCATCATTTTAAACATAAACTTTATTGTACTTCAATTTTAATTTCTACATTTTCCATGAAAAATCTTTTGTTTTCTGGTTAGAAAAATCCTTATTTTTCATGGTTGTGTTATTTTCTCACCGTTGTCTTTAGTTTTTTTTAGTCAGCACCGGATGATAAGGTCTCTATCTCCCAGCCTTTGTGGGAAGGTGGGAACCTAACTTTGATACACACTCATTAGCAAATGGTTATGGATCTCACATGGACGAAATCACAACGCCTTTCCTGGTTTCTCATATATTTTCAATACTGCACTTCCCGGAGCCTACTGAGTCCTTATATACTCCTTTCCTATTCCCTCATTCTCCCTTTAAAACACCCAGTTACTGTGGGGCAATTCAGAGTTGACCTCAGCTCATACCAGATTATTCCTCCTATTGCAATAGTATATTACTGATTAGAA